TGAATCGTCAGTACAGCCCCCAATCTACCATTTGGAAAAGTTGATAACATATATGTAAAGTAAAGAGCATTAGAGGAAGAAGGATTGAAAGGAACAGAAGATTGCAAAGATGGAAAGTAAAATCCGATGGGCAAAGGCATATTGCATGCCATTCTGACAGCAGAGCGTGATTGGAACGTGCCAGGGGAAAATATTCCGGGTGACACACGTGTATCGGAAAGCAGTAGGTTCTAACCGAAAATATGTGATCCAGAGTGAAAGGGCTTGGCACAGCTATTCCACGTACGTGGAAATCACTAACATAATGTTCACACACCGATTTTTTGGATAGCTTAAGTTTTTGCATATTATGCAATTGCAGAAATGCATATTGGCAAAAGGCTGTCTGTGTGTGTGTTCGCCGTTTTTGTCAGCCACTTCAACTTGAGAACCACAAAAGCTAGAAAGCTGAAATTTCGGAAGCAAGTGCCTGTCCCACGTGCGTTCCTCTTTCGTACGCCTGAACCGCGCGTACGGAAATCTCAAGAAATACACAAATTTTTTGGCGGGGAATGATCTCGAGAGTCGAATAAAATGAACAGCCAAAACTTTGCAACAAGGATATTCTCTGTGCATGCGTGAACTAAAGATTTCAAATTCAGCTATCGCGCGCTGTTTGCACCGCAAGTGCTGTTATGTCAGAGTTCGCAGTTGGCGAAATCTAGCCAGTAAAGAGTAGCTGAAACTTTGTTGAAATATTTATCGCCCACTGGTAATTCATATAATTAAAATGAAGCTTCGAAGTGAAGGGCTTTTAGGGCACATCAAACATATTTGTAGCGATAAGATGATTTTGCTTATCGGATAAATTACGACGTCAAAACTTTGCAGAGATTTTCTGTGTTTGTGTTTCTTATTTCAGTCTGGAGGCGAAATTCTCTGCAGGGCGAGCATGACAAATACTCAGTTTTATCGTACACTGAAAAACGGATTTGTAATTCTCTTCCAGTGTCCTATGCACCGTAAAATTTGCATTTTTCGGTGAATCATCGCTCATCAGGGAAACGACCGTGCTTCATGCAAAATTGAAAATTATGCGTGCTGGAGGCCCATTATGCAACACTTCCATCCCAGCCGACGCCGTTTCACCCCTATTTGCAGGAAAAGGACAAAACACAACCGACAAGATTGCACGTGTTAAACCACAACGCAAGGACGTACCTGTTGTTGCTGACGATCTGACTGTTGCAAGTTCGGCGCAAAAACGCATGTTCGCACTGGTAAGCCCGGTATGCTGCAATCTGGATTGTTCTTGGCATAAATTTCTTTTTTATATTAGCTGATGCGTTGGATTTTCGAAAATTTCATAACGTATATATTTATTTTCTAACTTCTACACTAAAAATGGTAGTAAACTTTATTTTTTAATTTGCGTCATTTCCCCGCCTACTCATTTAGTCGTATTTCTATTAGTTTATAGATTTTCATGCATAGCGGACCTCAGTTTCGTTTTTTTTTTTTTTTTTTTTTTTTTA